CGCTTGCTTGTACACACGCATGTACCCGTCGGATCAATGACTGGTGGACCCTTTTAAATACTCCCACACGGTGTTGAATGGTTTCGCAGGCCCCATGACACGTTGATGAAGTGTCTCTGCATTATTGTCTGCTGCATAAACCAATTGTTTTAGGTGGCCCCACAGATAAAATTCCAAAGGATTCCGATCAGCCCACAAATGTTGATTGTGTAAATTTGTTATTCTATCTCTTCCAAATATTGACTTATCCGTAAACAAGATTGAAGAGACAAACAACGGATCGGCAGTTCGTGCAATAAACCATTGGAAAAAAATTCTCCCGTGGTGAATGACCAGAGGATGAAATACCCTCTAAACGTTGAAAATAATACGGTACATAAGCTGCTCTTGAAGTACTTTCCATGCGTTACGACATTCTAGAATCACTTGATGTGTGCTGATACTTGGATCGTCTCCGACAGCCCGTAAAATGTGTTCTTTGTGGCCAGGCGTACGAGCGGATCTCGGTCTTCCTTGATCCATAGTTTCTCTCAGTAACGCGACAATAAACAACGGTAAAGGTTCAGCTGCCTTCGCTCTGGAAACGCAGCCTCGAGTCCATTACCATACGCGCGGCCGTATGTAAAAATCATATCTACCTACTTACAATATGAATATTCTGCCATTGTTAAACGGAACACTTCTCCGTTAACTCACTACTATACATGCACGTTAAACGTTGAAGACAGACTAGCCACAAATGTACACGAATGACAAACGTAACCTAGTCTACATGATAACACAGCGCCATATACCGTAAACACTTTTTAAACGTAATAACTCAAAAATGAAGGATTTGCGGATATATGTTTATGTGGACTTTTGTCCTTATTATGTTGAGAGGAATCCGCTCCCAAAGCTTGTAAAAGTATTTTTGATTCACCCTGTGCATATATTTACGACATTCTACATGTACAACCATACGCGCAGACGGGCGCAAAGGCGCAAGCGCAGACGGGTGTACGCACTCAGACATACACTAAAAACTAAAAAAAACAAAAAACCGCATATAAAAAAGAAACGATGAGAAGTATAAATAGTCAATTGCTGATACTCCAGGTGAGTGGACGGAGTGCTTCCCGGAGGTTAAGTCTACGAAACTCTGGAATCGGGATGCTGAAGGTACCATCAATCAAGTGCCAAAACTTTTAATTGTATTAATTATATATATATGTATATATATATATATATTAGATAAAAACAGACCACTTTAAGGTTCCTTGTAATAAATTATTTCACCCCAGCCCTTTTAAAGGAGTGCGGATCATCAGACTTTGCTTCCAAACAAAAAATGAAAAGAAAATTTACACATTTTTGACGGGCCGTATTAAACATATGTAAATTAACGAAGTGAGGGGGGAGAGAGAAGACATGAGTGAGTTAGCATATATTGACATATTTAAACGGTATATATATATATATATATATATATATATATATATATGCACAATAGCTTATCTTATACCTTTATATATATATATATATATATATATATATATATATATATATATATATATATGTGTGTGTGTGTGTGTGTGTGTGTGTGTGTGTGTGTCTGTGTCTCTATAAATATGTTTGTGTGTGTTTGTGTGAGTGTGGGACTATAACAGTATGATCGAAGACAATAAAAGGAACTATTCGATTATGACGTATGTAAAAGGTTATTACCGACCGATTTTTAGTAAAGTTGTTTAATAGCAAATCGTATATATATATATATATATATATATATATATATGTGTGTGTGTGTGTGTGTGTGTATGTGTGCGTGTGTCTGTGTGTGTGTGTGTCTGTGTGTGTTGTTTAATCACCAAACTAATTTCCTTCTATCTCACTCACCCGACGCTAACATTCCGCAAATTTTCGATTTACATTCTAATAAAACGATTTTTACTTTCGACACAGTAAATTTGTTAATGGAATTTTGGACACCGAAGATATCTGTAGATTTTGAACCAATGAGGAATGCTACATTGCTCAAAACAAATGGTGAGCTGATGACGCTAAGTATGATGAATATGCCACGCACCGAAGAATTATCCAATCCTAAATCTATTACATCGGGTGTAATAGTAAAATTGTCCAAATCAGGTAACAGCATGAAATAATTGTCCATTCCACAAAATGTTTAATATCTAAAAAAGCACTAAACTTGAGTTTCTTTATTCCAGGTTTTCAGATAAGACGTTTAGCCATTTTGACACCATTTGTCGTAAGAATCACTGAAAAAAGCCCTTTGAGATATTCAGCTAGAAAGAAAGTGAGTTTAAATCGTTTTGTGTCAGCCCCACTATATCTTCCCAATGGCGAGAGGAAAAAGATCATTCAGGCCTTCAGTAATGGTACCAACATTCATACACTGGCTTCTATCTTCAAAGTCCATTCAAGAACCATCAAGAGAATGGTGAATAAGTTTAAAAAAGAGGGAGGAGTAGAGAGGAAAACTGGAATAGGAAGTCACAACAGCAAGAAGGATCATCATTTCGATGAATACATAATTTTATTTTACATCATTTCGATAAATACATTATTATTGTTTAAAGTAGAGTCCAATAGTGTTATAAAGACCTCGGAGAATTCCAGTAAGATATTTTTAATAATTTCTAAAATGCAACGGTTCAAAACTTAATCTAACAATTGGACAATTTTGCTGTTACACCCGGTAGATTTTTGCTTGAATTTCAGGAATTAGGTTTTATCTTTATTCATATTGTTTTCATTCGG